AAGGCAACTTCCACAAAGTAGTTATTATAGGAGAAAATACAAAAGAGTCTGGACTGGAAACTGAGCTGGTAATTTTAGCTATTGTTGCTAAAATTAACTTTTAACTATTTCAGCTAATTTTAACATTTAGCTACACTTTTACTAATATTATCTTATCCACTGTTTGCTAATTTAAGCWTTTAACTACTATCTGATTGTTTTAGCTTTTAGCTGCTGTTAGCTTACTTAAGCTTTTAACTACACAAAATTTAGCTTTTGTTTTGCTTGTTTTACATTGAACATATTAGCAAAGATATTCAGGAGTGATTCTCAGTTGATTGATGTCTCTTTGTCCGGTCCATGTTCGGCTCCAGGTATCGGTTCCGGCTCAGCTCCTCTGGAGCAGTGTATCGAGCTGGCCCAGCGGCCCGGTGTGCTGCAGCACTGGACCTCCTGTCGACACCTCATCATCGATGAGATCTCCATGGTGGAGGCTCAGTTCTTTGACAAGCTGGAGTCTGTTGCCAGGTGTGAAGAAAAACCAAGCGTTCAGTGTAAACATTAAGCAGGAACAGGAAGATGAAATGTTTTAATTTGTCAYGGCTCACTGCTGTTTACAGTCCTCCTCAAATGTATGATTCTAAYGTTCAAATCTGTTGCCTTTTATTGGAGAACCATTCTGCACCTTCCTGCTCCCTCTTCACATCATGTCATTTTACAAACCTCACTCAGCTGCACCTGCCTCAGTGACTGTGTCCATTATAATTAGTACAATCTTTCATGAGCCACTGGACAGATTTTAATGAAGCCCTCAGAAATTAATATGGCTGCCACGGCTAGTTGATCTCAGCTGACACAAGGGATAGTCAATCCCAGTCCTCGAGGGCCACAGCCCTGCACATTTTACTTGTTTYTCTGCTCCAGCACATGATTTGAATGAATAGATGAGTTCTTCAGCAGAACTTGAAGAGGTAATTCACTGATTGAATCAGGTGTGTTAGAGAAAGGAAAAAAGTAAAACCTGCAGCCCTTGAGGACCAGGATTGACTATCCCTGGCCTACACTATAATGACCACACCTCAATGACTTTTTGTTTTATACTCAGCTTAAATATGGTGTGGTAGTAGCTGAGAGTCATTCATAACACTGAGCTCTGAGGCCCARGGTTTGCTTTAAACTGCTACAAGATCTTGGTCTCAACACTGACTTTAAAGAGTAACTTACCCCAAAATTAACTTTTTTTTAGCTGATAAACTGTCTAGAATGTGTCTAAAATGTTATATAGTACTGTTTCTGTGCTAGTTTTGATGTTTTTGTGCGAATTTGTTCAAATCTGTAATATTTGGTCTAAAAACGTGTTTTTGCTGC